AAATTAAAGGTAAAGATTCACTCTTTCGAAAGCCGTAAAGTGCATTTGCATGCGATTTTTTATTCGCGCCATGGAACTTGTCAAAGTTCGTAAAAAAATTTTGAGATTCGTCGGGTCTCCCTTTCTATCCGTGTAATTCCATGAAAGATCAGTAGGATCGTTTTCTCAAGTACCGATTTGGAAAGTAGAGATTTCAAGCTGTAAAATGCTTTTTTGAACATCTCGATATGATCATTTTTGACGAAGTTGCTCTATCTTGAAATTTGCCTATTTTTAGAGGCTAGAACAGGTGATCCTTTAATTTTTTGGACCAGTGTATATAACAATGTGAAATATATAATTATTGTTAATTTAATTATGCTGATATTATGTTATATTAATAGTTAATATTTTGTTTAATAGAGTTAATAGAGATATTAAAAATATTATAACCATTTTAAATAAAAAAGTTTTTATAATTAAATAATTATTTGAAATAAATGTGAGAAATAGAGAAGGAGAGAGGAGGAGAGGGAGGGAAGGGAGAAAGAGGCAAGACAGAAAGGGGAAAGGGAAGGAGGGAGAGAGAGAGAAAGAGAGAGAGAGAGAGAGAGAGAGAGAGAGATTGTAAGTTATATTATTACCGTAATCAGGTAAACAAACAACTCCGAATTTTTTTTATATTGTGCATAAATTTATTCAATCCTTATCACACTGAAAGAGTAAAGTTTTTAATACAGATACTCAGCGAATTTTGTAGCCTTTTGAATTCCTTTTCTGTGAACACAGATTACAGCGTGATTAATTATTATGCAATGTCATAATACAATAATTATAGCATGTATTAAATATAAAAGTAGATAATAATAATAAATATTATGAAAAATTATTAAGAAAATAGAGTACATCTCCAACGACACATATAAATTTTTAAATTATAGCGATGGAATATTACCGAGAGCGTATGGGCTTCCCAAAGTACATAAACCGAACTGTCCTCTTAGAATTATAGTATCGTCAATTAATAGCCCATATTACAATCTTGCCACTTTTTTACACCAAATAATTGCAACGAACATTCCTGTGGCACAGAGCCATATTGACAATAGTTTTGACTTACAAGGAGAGTTACCCAGGTGTCCGCCTCCGATTTCGATGAGCTTTTGATATGTTATTCTCTAGACAAACCAAAAATTAAGCTACCACAAATTCGTGCCCGATCGCACTTTTAAGGGGTGAAACACCCCTTAGAAA